TATATTAATTTCAAACTTTTCAAAATTGAAAATTAAAAACGTTTTATTTATTTATTGTAAATGACCTCTCGCGGCCCACCTGCAGTACCTTCGGCCCACACTTTGGGAATCGCTGCCCTAGAGAATACATTATTTGTCATTTGTTGTGAAAGCACAAAAAGTGATTTCAGAGAGAAGGGTCTACGATATGTGTTTGACGGATCAATCCAATCAGTTCCTGTAGCTGGTGTTGTTTCCTTATAATATGATCCGTTTGGATGACTCACGCAGATGACCTAGCGTAACGTTTTGTCTATCACCGCCTCCATGAACATTTGTTAGCCATGATGGACTAGTTTAAGAAGTAAAGTGTGCCAGCGATAACTAAAAGGGGCAAGAAATGGAGCATAAAGTAGATCAAGAAAGTAGTTCTTACGGAGCTAAACTTCAGTGAATATCTTTTAGTATTCCCCCTGGAGTTGAGTCCAGTTACACTGTAACAATGACCGGTATGATATCTGACACAATGGAGATGAGGAAACACTGACTGACCTCTAAGCTGTAGTTTGTGTTCCCCAGAACAAACAGAATGAGTTCTTTTGAGAAAATTTGAGTTGCTTTATGAGGAACTGACCCATTTGGAATGGAGATGATCCTGTATTGTATTATTGCATCCCAATGATTTAAAGGTTCATTGGATGTGTGTGAATATAATAGTGGACGTATTTTGTAAATTGAGAAGCCGATCAAATATCTATGATCCTGTAATTTAATCCCACTCTGACACAAAGGGTCATCCTCGAGCTTCACCCACAGTGCTCTCCAAGACACTAAAAGGTGACTGTCCTCATGTATCACATCTGAGGCCTGTTTGTTTTATCGGAGGCTTCACCTCGCTGTGACCCACCCTCCTCGTTTTTGGTAATTGGTTACCTTTGAGCACTCCTGCCGAGGCCTTACTCCTGCCACTGACAGGAGAGGGACAGTGGGTGAATCCTCCAAATCCAGCGTGGATTATGTAGTAGTACTCGATTGATGCATTGCCTGAGGCTGTTTGTAAAGGGCAACTTGCAGGTATTTGATTCAGAAGTGTGCACACTTGTGTATGGGATGCTCATACTGTCATAGAGCGTGAGAAAGAGCAATATGATGTCATTGTTTGTGTAGTCATATATCTTTGGAGTAATTACAGTTTGCTTTATGCCTTTTGTTAACAAAGTGTGAAAAAAGAGCTGTATTGAGAACAGAAGGGTGTTTTTGTTGAATTACAAAGCAGCTTGGTCAGTCAGCGTTTGATGTCTGTTTGCGGATGATTGACTGTGAATGTTAGTCAAAAGGAGACTGTCAGACAGATAAAAAGAGATGGACGTGCGGGGCTGATGAGAAAGCAATTAGACAGAGTGGCAAAAGAAAGACGTCGGCAGGTTAACAAAGAGCGAAACGAGAGATGAATGGGCGATGACAGAGAGGAGCGCTGAGGAGCAGCATTGAGGCCGTGTGGCCTGCAGTGAAACGGTTAGATCCGGCTCAGAGTGGCTGCCTCACAGCAGAAAGTGTGTCACAGGAGAGCTAGGCTAATGCACCAGGCTAAAGTTGCCTCACAGAGGCCTGCTGCATTCAAACCCTGAGAAACCAAATCAGCATGAGCCACAATGAAATGTTTAGCTCACATGGGCAAAACGGGCCCTGCAGTCAAACTCTCCGCAGATGACCCTAAAAACACAAGAGGTGGGCAAGGAAACACAATTCAGATAACTACCACAGCTATGTACACAGGCAAGGATCAATGCCTTATTCACTATCGAGTGTATGCAGTGCTACTTATAAAGAATCACATTTCAATATTTTGCTTCATAAATAAAGATGCTATCTGCAGTAAAAAAAAAAGTTTATATTTAGTTCAGAAAACATTATGTTAAAGCCTATGTTCCATTTTGTAAAACATCTAGAATGTCATAAATCATATTATATTCTAATTTGAGCTATAAGTGATGCAACTGTTTACTAATTAGTAATGAGGTATCACCTAATAATCACCTAATATTCAACTAGAAGAACTGCCTATTGTAACTTTAATGTAGCTAACTGAAATAAATCTAAAAGCATCCATTAGCTTGCAACTATATTGTACCACTCAACCTGTTTTCTGGCAAACAATTTGCACATCTTGTAGCCAATTTAGTCTTTTCTGAAACAATCAAACAGTAACAAAGCATTTGGGAAGGACTCGGTACACAATGTGATGGATTTACGAATAGTTGGAGCAGCCCATTCTTGTCATGTTTACAAGAATGGGCTCTCCGTCAGTTTCCCCACTTTTTCTGTACCATTTTTGCATTTAGGTGCATAAAGCTGCAATCTGTTTTATCCCTTTGCAATCTGTTGAAATAGTTTTGTCTTCCTCCACTTTGTGTGCATGCTGGTAGAACGAGTTACAAGTATGTATATACATCTTGCTCTGTTGGAAGTGGTGGTGAGAAAGTCTTCACCCCCGAATGTTGATCTTGGTCTTGTTTATTTCCTGTTAGTAACACCACTCTGGGAAAATAGGCTTCATTACTGCTCCCATCTCATGAAAACAACAGAATTATTTGATTATGGCTGCAGGCTGCCAATTGTGCCAGAGGCGATACTCCGATATACTGATTCTATTCATTTGATTATTCAGAGCCCTTCTCGTATGAAAGAGGGTGTTGTAATAGCATTGAAGTTCTACCATTGATAGCATTTAATCCTAGGGCTGCACGGTATGGCCAAAAATCCATATCACGGTATTAAGTAAGGTTCTGACGGTATCCCGGTTATATCACGGTATTGCTTCTTCAAGTAAACACGTTCATTCATTGACCCCGAAAAGGACCGAGCCGCCCGCTGACCAACATGCCAGCAACTGGCTGGCGAGTTAGCTTTTTAATTGCGTTAGCAAGTTAGCGTGTTAGCTTGTTGTGGCTGCAAACAGCTGTTCCACTTGCATACCCAAACAGCTGTTCGCCTTCTCTTTGCTTGCTAGCAACTGGCCGGCGAGTTAGCTTGTTAGCGTGTTAGCTTGTTGTGGCTGCTGGTGTTGCCACCAGAGGCTCGACAGACTTTGCAATAAATCCTTTTCTGATCTAACTTAGATCGGATTTTCCAAAACCATAAACCCTCCAACAGACACAGCTCATCTCTTGGGCACAAGTTGTGTTTGTGCATCTCTGGTCTCTCGTTGTTCCTCCTGTATCGCTCTGCTCCTGTTTTCATGTAGCAACAGAGTTACTTGTTGTTGTGAGATGTACCCAGCATGCAGTTCGACAATTATAAATGCTACAAATTGTCTATGTGACACAAGCTGTTGTGTCATGGTGTTTTACCCTGTTAAAGAGTGTTTGTTGTGGGTTATTCATTGTTGTTATAACTCAATCTCGACACACGTAAGAGAAGTAGCTCGGCCGTTAGATGCTTTGCGATGACGTGTATAAATAAATTCTGCTCCCTGCCAAAGAGCAACGTCCGTTGTTATGGCGTATTACACCGGTATGGGCGGGACGTGAGAAATTCAAACCGGAAATCTTATTCCGGTATACCGTGCAGCCCTATTTGATCCTCAGAAAGACATTCAGCTACAACATGGTTACGTGAATCCATCCACCTGCATGCAAATAGCGTACCTAATTGCAGCATGTACAAAGGGACCAGAGAGCCGACCTCTGGCTAATGAAAGATGAACCCAGCGATAAAGCCCAGAAGGATGCTGCGAATGTATGGGATCAGACACTAAGCCTGCACGTGAGCCCTGCAAACACTGGGGAGCCCCAGCTTCTCTAATCAAGTAGAGGTCAGGTTGAGGCCAGGTAGACCCGATGATCAGGCTTGGCTCTTTGGCACACATCCAATAGCCATCCATTATCAACGCTAATGCTCCCCACGTGGAAGAAGAAAAATTAAACAGGCGACTGAGCCAGAAATGCTTATTAAAACCTTGCTGTCACTTAAAATAAAAAAGCCTTAACAGTGCAATAGGATTTTCTTCATCATCATTTTCTCATTTATATTACCCATCACAGAATGGATGACAAAAAAGAAAACAAAACTCCTCCCAATGTTGGACTTGTTTGGGGATTAGCTTCCCTCAGTTAAGGTCTGTTTGTGCTGCACTTATCTCTGAATGTTACCTCTGGGTATGAATCATCTAACACAATCCGGTCTACGCCTTTGTACTGTTGCCGAACAATATCCAAAAATGATTTTACACAGGTGGTACATGTTTCTACTGATTCATGATACGGGTTCCTGTAGTTTTAGTACCTAGGGAAACATTTCCCTAATGTAATCAGCAGTTTTTAATTGAAATGCTTCTTATCTGAAGACAAGCCATTTTCTAGAACGTCAAAAAACCTAATTGATGTTCCAAATAAATAAAAAAAGATGTCAAAACAAAATAGTGATCAGTTTTGATACCAATTATAAACTGTTAGAAAAATTCTCACTCGACACTGGTGTAAAATCATCAAAAACAGGACATTTAATGTTTGCAAACAGGAGAAGGATACAAGTCATGCGCCAAGCCTACTAAAAGGTCTTCTTCCAGCCCCCACATATACATACTGGGATAAGGTATGGTAAACAGGAAGGTCTTGCGCACGCACAATGATCTCATTCACTGTCATGTTCTTTATCCTGAGACATACATCTGATCATCATGAGACCCGGAGTGGCCTTCTGGACACCGGACATGTCACACAGATTTCATAGTCATCTTATCTCATAGTCATCTTATCTCAGCTGACATGTCATACACCAAACTTATTGTACAAACAGTACAGACATAGTCTTGTTTTGTCTAAACCCCCCTTCTTGACATGACATTATTTTCAGTTTTACATAACATAACATAACATAAACAATAACAAAAAATTATAACAATGTAGATATTCACATATCGAAACAATCCTGTCTAGTCAAAATCTACCATTACAGCTTTTGCATCCTTTTTTCACACCGTGATATACATTAAGTGTGCATATTTTTCTGTGTTTGTGCAGCATTTCTTCTTCTCTGAGGTGGCTCTTCTCTAACAGGACACTGTTCAGCCCCTCCAACAAGGTACAGTACATTTATACCTGTTTTATTCCTCCAACCCTCAGGACAGACATTCTCTCTTTATTTAATGTCCACCGAAGCGTCTCCTGCCTGCTTGCGTCTGGAACTATAGACTGTAGTGCTAATGAAACAGGGCCCTGCTTGATGTTGTCGGATGAACTGCCAGGAGAATTAACTAATAGGCTGCAGAAAAACAACAAGCCTTGACCTTGTCTTGATTGACCGAAGGCTTTCAAACTGAAAATAAATATGAAGCTGTGGGCTGAAAATAAATATGAAGCTGTGGGCTGAAGAACATGTCTTTTGTGTAATAACACTCTGGGGCCGTTCAGGCTAAAATTTGAATAGAAATGTCATTGTTGATTTTTCACATTAATACTTGAATGTAACACAAGTACAGTAAGTTTACCAATGTGGTGTTGCTGTATGGATGTAAGGGCATGTGTTCTCATGCAGACGCATGCACGGTGTTGCCTGCAGAGCAATGAGCTCTGATGGATCGGAGCTGCGATGCTCAGCATCATGAGTGTCCTTCCTGGGCTTCCATGAAGTACATCTCTGGACTTGTGATTTCACATTGGATCCATTTCATTCGAAGCCCAAATCTCTTCTGCATTCCAGCCATAAGAGCAAACCCCTCATGTCGCAGAGCAGGGGAGCATTTCAAGGAAGCATGGGTTAATGGATACACATGTAGAAAGTTCAACCAATAAAATCAATTTGTTTTTAAAAATGAAGTTACTATGATCCCTTCACATGTTTGAAGCTTATTCAAAAGCTCCATCAGTAGCTTTTTATAATTCAATAAAATAACTGCTAACTGCTGTTAACATTTCTATTATGTAATTTCAACACAATACATCACAATTAATGTTAATTCAATATTAACCAATTGTGTATTTTTAGAGTTTAGCTGGTGAAAGTGAACAATGAGCTAGACTTGCATGAAGATATTTGAATTCAATGTTCAAAGTGAAGGGTAGCTGTTTCTAAAACATGTCATTTGAAATTCAAATGACATTGTCATGTCACATGCACATGCAGTTTCAGCTTCTCTTCGATAAAGTGCATGTATTTATCAAGCATTGTTTATGCAAAGCATTTCAGTATGTAAAACAAATGTTTGTATTTATAACAAAGCTACTATAGACAAGTTTCCCGGGCACTTCCGGTTTACTTCCTGTTTCTGCCAAGAACTTCCGGCGCAGGCTGAGTAGTGGTGTAAAAATGGCTTTGCAATGGCAACATTCGACCGAAAATCTTGTTAAAAATGGTGTTTTGACCATTCCGCATCCAAGTAAGGTAACATCATGGGCGGACAACATGTCGATATGGCCCAGCATCACAACATCCAAGATCTTTTCTTATTTTATTGATTCCATAGCGGTGGATGGGAATGCAATTAATAACCTAAGAAAGTTCAGAGGCGTTTCAGTACCTCCATTCCGACAAAGTGGGCTGTGTACTTTTACACGATATGGACATATAACGGCCGATGTTCAACCGAGCCAGTCCAGTAACAATTCAGCGCGTAACGCCTGGGTTTTGGTTACCAAGACGGGAGATGTGGAGACTGCAGGCTGTACCTGTAGCCATGCAGCCTTTGCAAAGCAGCGCTTTGGAAGGTACGTTAGCCCATCTTATGCTTGTATAAAGATGTTTGTATGTATCTGTGTGTTAATATATAACAGAACACGAAGAGTAATAAAAAGAAAAAGTAATCCCCTCTAGCCTGCCTGCACTAAAAGCATGCTTTAACCCTTCAAAGTCGACTGACGAGCGTCAAAGTGCGCACCCCTGACATATCTATTAATAGCTTCGGAATGGATAAAGGTATTCACTTACTTTTTTTTCTATGAAAAAGCTGACATTCGTCTGCGTAATAATTAGTAGTCTGTGTTGACTTTGAATGATAAGCCTTCCGTATTTGAGTGCAAATCTATAGCATTTTACTCACTTGTAGATGGTTGATGGTCGAAACATTCTCCTTCCGACCAAACATTCAGCAATCGCCACGAGTTGTTGCAACCCTGAACAGCACAATATGTGCCGGAGCCGTGTCGGCGTGTAACACCATCCATAGTTTACTTTTTCTGCACGCTAACCAAAGACTGTAAAAGACGCTAACTCGCTAACCGGAAGTGCTTTGCAGACACAACCGGAAGTCGTTGGCAGAGTGAAAGGCCAATGGCGGCCCGCTTATTTCACTCAGGAAACTTGTCTATACAAGTGCATCAAATAATTTTGTCTTAAAATAAAGGTGAGTTTGTTGTCACCTTGCATTTTTCTATCACTTCTTCAGAGAAATATTTTCATTGTAGTACGGAGTACTGTATGTACTCTGACCAGACAGCAAATTCAGGGTCTTAAAAAAAAGTGAAGCCAATGTGAAAGTACTTTGGTACCAATTAGAGCAAAATAGACCATACAGCCGGGTGTGCTGTGCAGTGTGGCTCCTTTATGATACAGGTCACTTTTTCAGTGGGTCTTTTCAGTACGAAAACGAAATTTAATTAAAACATATATTGTTTCCTTGAAATTTCTTTTCTCGTGTCTTTCCGTTTGCAAGAAAAAAAGGTAGACTTCAAAATCACCAGGGGCCTCATTTATAAACGTTGCGTACGCACAAAAGAAAGCGTACGCCGCTCTCTACGCAATAATTGGTATTTATAAAAAGCTAACTTGACGGGAAAATGTGCGGTCCTTCACGCAAGCTCGGACCCATGCGTACGCACAAAAACCGGTGAAATGAGAACCGTCGGCAAATGCAAGAAACACGCAGACGTGTGTAAAAGTGTGTAAAACTAGACTGTTGTGTAGGAGAAATGCCAATACTGCCTCTCATAAATAACAAGAACACCCGTTTGATCGATCTGCAGCGTAAAACAAACAAATACAAATTAACACATTTTCAAAAAGAAATATATTCTGCAATAATATTGGCATGTTATACAATTCATCCTCAAAACACAGCTGTTGCTTGTCAGATGCAATCAAATAGACGGTAATAAAATGCCATGATGCCATCACAATGCGTAATGACGCGAAATGGCTGTCATGATTTCGCAATCGATAAATATTAATTTGTGGGCGTTCCACAGGCTATATATGGGCAACTATGGGCGTGCCATGAAGCCGCAAAAGCTGTGCTGCATTTAGAAGTGATTTATTAAGGGAAAACTGCATAGGACGTGCGTGCGCACGGTTTTATAAGTCTGAATATTTCTGTGTGTACGCACGTCCTATGTTTCATCCGTACGCCACTTCTGGCACAAATCCTACACAAGGTTTTATGAATGAGGCCCCAGGTGACTACGTCCACTTCCTACTTACAGTTCTGAAAGAAATCCAGCACATACTGATAACATTGATTGTTTGTTCATCCTGCACAGGGTTCATCAACCAATTATTCTCTCATGACAACATCTTGTTTCATTCATTTGCATTAAACCATTGGATTGACTTTGATGAAAGGGCAGTACAGCTTCTGACGCAAAGAGCTTTTTAAAACTCATTTCTAGAATACTAAATCTACTGGGCCAAAAGAACGAAAGACACTACTGCAAGACGTATATTAGATGTAAAAATGCTTCGTTTGTTCTCATGACCATTGGTCCATATCCTGGAACAATGAGTCATTAGATCAGATGGAAGGGAATGGCATGGCTCATCTCCTGCTGGGGAAAGTATGCATTATACTGGTCGCATTGCAAACGGGTGTGTCAGTTCAGTTTGTAACTGTGGTGACCCACAAACGGTACCATCATCTTTCAAGGACACTGATACTTTTACTGTGGCTGATCTGACTCAATTCCAGACTACTGGATACTACTGGTTAAAGTTCCTACAAATGCGGTGACGTGGTATTGTGGTAAAAGATGCCTCATAACACTGTTGTATTCCCACATTACAATTATACAGTGCAAGGGGTCAACGTTTTCCAGGCCAAGGTCCCCCAAACTTATGGCGAGATGGAGCACTGACGCCCTGTTCTACGGAGTTTGATCCGCCATCTTTTATTTTTGCGCTTCGTACTCTTTATACGTGAGCATAAACGTGATCTGATTGGCTAGTGCCTGTGCTGTCGTATTTGCATGAAAGGTGCTGTGAATATACCGGTGCCCAGCTTGAGAGAGAGCTCCTGTGGGCAGCTGAACGTGTGTGTCGCGGACTGAAAGATAATGTCTTCTCCATCAATTTATCCGTTCGCTACAATATGTTGGATTCATGGTAATGTGTATTTAAAGACAATAAATACAATTCTGATTCTGAAGACATTTAAAATGATGGGGGGAAAAATGGTTGAAAAAAAAAAAAAAATTGCCTTATCAACCAACAATTTTTCAACCCCCCCTGCAGTACCTCCGCGGACCCCCTGTTGAAGACCTCTGATACAGTGTATGGGCTTATTCCTCTGATTAAGTTCACATGCCTCGCTCTGTGCGTGTGTGTGTGGGTATGTGCACTGTCCAGTTTGTTTAGGCATTGCATTAGCATGGTTTAATCCTCACAGGGCTTATTGGATTGAAATCCCTCTCAAAGCTCTTAAAGCGCCTGCCTTTTAATTTCTGTCTCTCTATCCTTCCATCGGACAGTGAGGGAAACTGTAGGGATACAGCTATTTGTCTCATCACCTTTCATATCTACTGGAGTGATTGTGGCTCAGACGGTAGAGAGTCATCCTCCAATTAGAAGAGCTGTGTTTGATCCCCGGCTCATCCAGTCCATGTCTGCCACGTTAACCCCTCGGCTGTGTCATTGGTGTGGGAGTCAGTATACTTACGTAGTCCTGATGTGCAGGTGGCACTTTACATAGCCCCTGCCATGAGTATGAGTGTGTGTAAATGGGTGAATGACATGTTGTGTTAAAGGCCTTTGAGTTGTCCATTAAACATTTATTAAAACCACATTTGTAGCCAGTCCCAAAATTGCTTCCGCTGAATTTTGGAAGTTGAATCAAGACATGCATCCAAATTGATTTCATACGCACTGCCCAGATATTCCAGAGACTTTTTAACTACTAAGTAACAGTATTTGCAACTCATTAAGTAAGTAAAAAAAAAAAAAATCTATGTATTTCTAATCAGGAAGATTGATACGCTGCAAGTCTTATATACGTGATCTGCACATAGCAATTAAGAATGGTGTATAAACTAAACTTAAGTTGGCGTAGTCGTAGAGTTGGTGCAAATTTATTGTGCTTCTCCCAAAGTGCAAAGTGGAAACAACATTACAGTAATAGGAAACACTAGTATAGTACTAGTAGTACTATCAGGCTAATTGAGGACCTCCGGCTCTAGGCTGCAGGCAATCACTACACCTGCTTCTCATTTAGTTTATCTGAACAGTGGGGGTGCGTGTGTGTCCATGTGTGTCTATGTGTGTGTGTGAGTGCTGCGTATGTCGCCAGTGACGGCCGCTCCGTCACACTGTCCCTTTGTTGTCCCTTTGCATGTTTCTGAGCAATAACAACTAAATGCAAAAAAAAAAGTCCAACATTACAGCATCGCTCTTCCTCTCTTATTTTGTTAAGAAAAGCTGCAGAAAATACTGTTTGCTTACTATCCCTGATTAGCCCTTCTTTCCCTAGACATAGCTGAATGTAAGCAGGTATTAACCAATTTAAAAACCCTATCGTGTCGACTGTACATCTCACACAACGACATTCATCTATGACTTTGTGAAGGAATTGGAGCAGAAATAAGAATTTTGCAGTGCACTATTTTCTGCTCATCTATAGAAAAGAGAAAATTCAGTTCAGCACTCTCAGTTTTTCTCAGTTGCTTTGGTAGATTTCTTGAATCATCCTCGACATTTGCAAAACAGCACGTGCATTTCTCAAAACAAATTGTATTAATAGCAAAATACCATGGATTACCTGCAAAATCCAGTTTCTTGCTCAAAAGTAAATATCTGTGCCATTAAAATGATATGACCTTGTGTCATTGTTTACGGACCAGACAATTTGCGAAGTCGTGTTGTCAGTTTACCATTGTACTCTGGCGGTTCGGTTCTGATCTAAAACATGGAGCCATGTTTTAGATTGATTGCAAGAGACTGACAAGATTTACATATGCATTTTTACTGTAATTTGTTGACAGACATTACTTTGCTATTGTGAGAATTACAGAACGGTCCTCACGCATGTGCTGTCATTTCTACTTCTTTTATATTGACCCCCCCCCGAGGTATTGTATAATAATAATAACACAATAATGTGTGCACAAGTGTGGCTCTTGTCAGGAACATGCATGTGTCCTCAGCCTCATCTTGCTCTGTGTTGCCTCCCAACTCCTCCACCACGCATTTATATACTTGATGGTTCATGAGATCCTTTGTTATAGAAAATCAAGATCCACCTAGAACCAATTTGCCAATTTAGGACAGATTCAGAAAAAAAGTCAAATAAGTTCAAATAAATGAGAAACTGCCTTTTTAATGTGCACCAGTGACACAATGATGTGAATATTGAACAGGTAGTTTGGAGAATTTCAATTCTGATCTGAGAAATGTACCAAAGCAACTGAGAAAAACTGTAAAATGTCTGGTTCAAAGTGTTTCTCTGACTAAATTGATATTGGAGTTAATGTGCCTATTATTATCAGATGGTTTCTATTTTAATAACCTCACAACCAATTGCTAGTCTCCAGTCTTCAGTATCCAGTACCACATGATGTAACCTAATTAATTTGATAGAGACAAATGCTTTAATTTTTTGTTACATGTGATCTCATTTCAGATAATATTTGAAAGGAGAAAGTATATTTGAAGAGATACTGCAGCAGACATGTAATTGAGAAATGGTCTCAGTTATTATACTAAAACTGTATTGTATACCACCAGTTGTCATTAATGTAGAAATTGTGTCATCTTATAGAGATTACAAATGAAACCTTGGAATCATTGTTGTCAAGTATATTAATGTTTTGATGCCTGTGTGCTTTCCTGGAGCGTCACCAAATCCTGCAATGTACATTAGCACAATGTTACAATGAGTCTTTACCTCAATTTATGTGAAAATAATGTCAAGGATCCTGATAAAGTTCCTGTGTGAAGGTCATTTTCTCCACTCAAGTAATTTATTTATAACCTCTGCCTTATCTGCCACCGGCGGCGAGTTTTATGGACGTTCCCGCAATATGACTGCTCTTCCTGTTATTTTTAGCACTACCGAGCATTGCAGTCATGGAAGACAGAAGTTATATTTCTCATTAAAATTCAAGCTTGGAGTGCATGTTATCTCACATCACATCAACCATGACACTACATTTTCATACTGTATGCACTGACCTGAACTGTACTGAAAACTGCTTTAGATGCACTTCCTCACAATGAAGCTTGTGCATAACCACAATCCTTAACGTGTTTTTGTTTTTACTTGTGTTGCTGCAGTTGTCTTGGCACCTGACTTATCCATCCCACATACATAATTCAACAAGGAGTTTTTGCAGCATGTAACGGCAGCAAGAATTCCAGGAAAGCACTACGACTTAACATCTGAAGGCCAGTGACAGCTGGAGCCATGTCCTGTCATTTTCACTGGCCGCCTCCCCTCTGTGAGTTTCTCTTTATGACGTCTCACTCCAGCAAAATACTTCTCCTTTTTTCATTCCCCCCTCTTTACTCACTGTGATCAATTCTTGCCCCTGTCTTTCTTCTGTTTATATCGACTCGTATTTTTTTCCTACAATCTGCAAGGCCATCTGGCCCTCTGTCCTCAGCCTTGTGTCTGTTTGCAGTATCTTTCGCTCACTAAATCCATTTGACAAGATTAATAGAGTGAACCTCAGACAGATATAAGCTGCTCATTTTGATAGGGATCATTGGGGGGAGATAAGTTCTGTGCTGGTCATAAGCAGACGAGAACACTTTCTCCCTTTTCCCACCTCAACAATGACAGCTCACTGCAGCAATTGAAAGGATTCTGTGTCTAATCATTGAATGCAAAAGATTATTCTGAAAGAAAAATCTTTAATCACTCTAATGTGTCCTTTGGTTGTCACGTTGAAATAATGCCAGAAATGTGACCCCTTTTAACTTGCAGTGTTGGACAGGGCCACAGATACACTGGCTACACCCAGCTGGCAATTTAAACACCTCTGCCATAAAATGTAGTCAAATTACCGCGATGCCACTATACGTCTTTGTGACATATAGTGAAGAACATGGAGACACAGTCCGGGTCATTGTTTTGTTGAAGTAGACAATTTAGGTCTACAACATAGACAATGATCTCTCTCATTCCTAAAGGGATGGTGAAAGTAAAAAAGAATTCTGAGAAAACCAGACTTTATATGAGAAATACATATTAACAAACATATATACGAATAAACATATTCATTTTGACTTCAGCCATTTATTTGAACACAGCTGTAATGAAGCCTCAATGATTTTTTTAGCATGACACCAATATGGCACTAGCTAGCATTGCACTAACGTCACTGTCTCCTGACACGGCCAGTTTTTAGGTAACCAGTAAAACTCTTAATAAAAATGATCGTGTAATGTTTTCAGGGGATTTAACGGTGTTAAAGTAGGCGTTAAAGTAGTAAGCTCATTACCTTTCGAGCCAAATACAGTTTTCGTAACCAGTCGGAAAAAGGTAAAAGGACGCTAACGCCAGTAAATTAGCCGTGCGCTGCTATAGGCATGACCCAGACTGACGTCCACCGTCATTGTAAACATCCACATCGGTGGAGGTTAAACAACATAAACAGCCAGAGGAAATTGAGGGGGGCGATGCGGCCGATCGATACACGTAGTTATGACATGTATAAATGTGTCCTGTTATTGTGCCTAATGCGCAACCACATATATTCAAATATATGTCTTTTTTTTAAGTGAATATTCGAACACCTTTTTAAGAAATTTTGACAGCCCTACTGGCCAGTAGACAGAATGCACGTTTTAAGACACTTGAAGGCAGATGTAACTTTAGCATTGGTCAGGGGCCACTGCCTCTAGTGGTAAAGGGGAGAACTGCTGTTGCGTTTGACCTCTACTCGTTCTCGTCCGTGGGACTATAGTGCCCTGGTTTGGCTGCCATATACCGATCATTATCCAAAATCCAAAGCGTTCAAATGTGGTTATAAATCGTTGCAAGAAACACGCCTCTATACATTAGGGAGCACTGGTTTCTTAGCCTGTGATAGTTCAGTTTAGCTTTCAATTAAATATTTGATAGCAACCCGTCCTATCACACGCTGCCCGTGGCAAAGCTTAAATAGCAAAACATTGAGTAAAGTTTCAAGCACTCGTTTAAATTCATGGTTTTAAAAGGCTTGCGTGTGTTGCAGAGCATTTCACCTCCAGAACAATAGGTGGAGTAACGTGTTTCTGTTGAAGACGACCTAGAGAGTCACGTCTTTGTGTGTGGAAGTCGTTGGTTTGTTTCCTTATTTATCATAGACTTTATTGCCCCGTGCATCACCACTTCTGCTTTTCATCGCGGACACATTTGTCCCGTATTTTCCTCCACAACTTTGTTCACCCCTCGACCGGCCAACCCACGTTTGCAGAGATCTCCCTCCATGAATCCAACCCGCTTATACAACCCGCCATTTACGCATTTCTTCCAACAAAAGCTCTTCAATCTGATCCGTTCTCTCGTAAACATTCTTCGTTTTAATAATGGCGGTATCGGGCTATGAAAACACAAATGTGAGACTACATAAAGGATGTAGTTAGCAGACCAATCGCAGCCTGGTGCGCTGCGGGAGGCTTTCGACGCAAGCCTAGAAAAATGGGTCGACGCACGCAAGGACGCAAGAAGGCGTGAAAAGGCACGCAAGGACGCAAGAAGGTGTGAAAAGGCACGCAAGGGACACGCAAGGGAGTCTTGCGTCTGTGTCGCTCTGAAAACGCAGAAGCATAAACTAGGCTTAAGCGTCGCTCTGAGAGAGCAACCTCCCTGACCTAATTTTGCTCTTTTATTCTGGTCACTCAGGATGTTCAGTGATAACAGTCACACTACACACACTGCATTTCCATTATTTTATCCTTTCAGTTTTTCTCATATAGCCAAAAAAACATCTTCACAACAGTAATATACTGCAGTAAACAAGCCTCTTGTGAATGTGTCATTTGCTGTTTCACAGTAACAAATTCAGGCCCACATTTTATGGATTCGGCACCCTGTTTTCACACTGACTGCCCTCTGTCGGGAACCAATATTGCACCTAATCTTCTGTCTGTAGTTCTATTCTCTGCAATAAAGCACAACATTCTTACCAAAAGTTTAATTAAATTAAACTCACAACGCATCCTCTCCTCTGGGTACATGAAGAATTTTCATTCAAATCAAAAGGACATTTTATGACATAACACCTGCACCCTTTGGCCAAGCCTGGCACCCATGTAATGTGATGATTCACACATGGTGCTACATTTAACAGTTTTAAAAAATATGTATATTTACTTGCCCAATTACAGTTTATCCCTCCAGACACATTCTGCTCTTTGATTTTCTCCCACACATCTCTTAACCTCTTCTCACCCTGCTCTGCTATTTTCTGTTTCAAGCAAACCATTGTTTGCTAATTAACGAGACTGACCTCAAACTGACACACATCATTGACAGTTTCTCTGTCATTGCCACATGAAGACATACTACTATTGTGAGAAGAGCTTTGTTTTGGCTACGATTGGTACTGTATTTGTTTATTGCGGTAAGATTTTCCTCGCTTGTGGAGAGAACCCCTATCAAGTCCTGTAAATGCAGCCAGTTATTGTATTAAAGTAGAAGCATTTCAAATCTACTACCGGCCGACAGCAAGGTTGACAAATGATGTTATGACAAAAAAGTCACACAATTACTTGCAATTTGTGAAATAAATTTCCAATGGCAAAAATAGAGCAATAAAAAGCACATATTTCCCTAGCCACATATATACACACTCGTCTTTCAAGATCTTTAAAATGGGACGTTTTTTAGACCAGAGGCCTTTTGGACTTGCCTTCTTCTCACATGAATCCGATACTGGATATCTTTGCCACTTGACAGATGACTGTGTCTGAATGTCTGCAGTGATATTGTTACATGACACTTATTTTCTTCTTCAATAGCAGCAAAACAGGGGACATGAACCAGCAGAAAATGTCTAACAAACCTATTAGCAGCTCTACAGCCAAGGCAACTAATTTCCCTTTTTTCAGCTGTAGATGACCGTGAATATATCTATTGCCCCACCCTGAGCACCACATAATATTGACTACATGCCCGATTTATTAGCATATTAGTTGGACAGAGTATGATGAAATGTGGCCCTTGAAAGACTCATAGCCCATTACAGCATTGAGCAAGTACCATTATATCTTCCTTAACAATGCATGGAACTGCCACACTGTTATTTATAGAACTTCTTTCATTTCTATTTATCATTCCATCTCATACTCAGAGTCAGGATGAGACGAGAAACACAGTTATTTCAGATCAATAGTCAATGTCAAATAGTTTGTCTTGTATCTCTAAATGCACGCAAGAGAAACGTTTCTATAAGAATGTAGTTTATATACAGTCCAGAAATACAAGCATGGTTAGGCTGGTAGAAGCCAGGAATGATGACAAAGATTGTGGCTTCAATGCTGTGGATGCCTCTTGTTGTTATTTCCACTTTGTCAATATGTTAATGTCTGGAAGTCTATCTTAATGTGTCATGCAGTGATGCATGGGGCTGTGTTTTCACTTCCCTCAAAATACGACATAATGTAGACAAGACATGACATGAGAGAAATTAATCAATATGATATTGTTCGATGAATATTATTGTTTTGTGATGTGGTACTGTATTCCTGGAACCTCAGCATGGGAACAGAAAACTAACAGCAGGCTGCTCACCTACGCTGCCCTTCAGGCAGCCAGGATTTTACAGGCATTTCTTTCTTTTAACGAGGAGACAGGGACTGCAGGTAATGGGCTTTGTTCTGCGGCAGTAATTGCGAGGTGGCGGATATAGAATTAATGACATGGTCCTGAAGAATGGAATATAGGGACTTAGCAGTGATAAGGACTGAGAAGTGGCAGGCCCCAGATGTTACCAGGAGTAGCGCTCATTAGCAGTCCCAGGGGGAAGAGAGTTTAGGATATGGCAGATAAAAGTCAGATGGGGAGGCGGTAGCGTGGAGGGATGTTGGCTTCTGCTATAACTGAAATGCTGTTTTCATGCCGCTCTTTAAACAACTGTAGTCCAACCGGACGAAGAACTCAGAGAGCACAGGTGGTCATAGAGCATTATATTTCATCTCATTAAGTCTCAGAGAGTGGTTAATATATGCTGTCAGTAACTTGCAGTAAAAAAAAACCTTTGTGCTGAACTATACAGTAACTTCTGGAACTAGAGTTAGACTGTAAACTCTTTCAGATCATTTGTAGGAGTTTCAAATTTGAGTTCCTAACAGCATGTTATTATCCCTACCATGTATTTTACATTCCCACCTGATTCAGAAAAGTCCATCCTATTCAGGATGAATAAAGTCCAGGACTGAGATTACGACAATTTACACAAAGCAATGTCTTTGAATGTCATGAATAATTAATCCAGAAGGAGGATTCTGATTA